ATTAGTGAGATTTTTAAAAAATTATTTACTGAAGAGGCAGAGGTTAAGACAGCAGGCAGAGAGGGCTCCCACTTACTGGTTTACGTCCCAAAAACCTAGAACAGCCGGGGCAGGGCTGCGGTTGGAGCCAAGAGCTGGGAGCACAATCCAGGTCTCCCATGTGGGTGGCAGGGTTCCAATTATTTGAGCCAACGCTGCTGCCTCCCAGGGTTTGCACTGACTTAAGTCAGGAACCAGAGCTGAGACTCGACCCCAGATGCTCCAGTGGGGGACACAAGTATCTTAACAGCTACGTAAACATCTGCTCCCTAGTGAAACTTTTAAATCCTTTCTTTGGCAGCACAGCTTTCAAATCCACTGTGTATTTTACTCTTCTAGTGCATCTCAATTTTACCAGCCACATGTGCTAGAGGCTACCATATTGGACAGCACAGATCCAAGACCATGGCTCACGTGACTAAACTGAAATAAGAGCAATAACTAATATTTCTGGATTGTCACCTGAGAGGCCTTGGGCAACTTCGCAAGCCTGTCCTGTTTCCGAACCCTCTGTAAAAGAGGAGTAATAATAACACCTACATTCTGTTGTTGTGAATATTAATTGAGAAGCCCCAAATAAGATTCTCACTCTTCTTTGCCTTTGCACACGTCATTGTGTCAGCCTGGAAGGTTGGCCGTCACCTGCTAATCCTGATTCCTTTTTGAAGACCTGTGCAGACGTCTCCTCCTCTGTGAAGTCCACCTGCCTTGCCTCTTGGGGCTCCTGACTCAGGATCAACTGATAAATATTGCTTCTCTACCTGTCTCCTGGGGTGAATTTAGAAGGACCGTTGCATCTCATTCATTCTAAGAAACATTTTGCACTTTTAACCTCTCTGAAAAAATCAGGGTGCACTTATATTTCAATTAGCAGTGTTTTTTTTCTTGCTTTCTGAGATGATAAAACAGCAATCAGGTGCCATTACAATATCTGGCACAAATTGGACAAATTTTAGTATTTTGACTTTGTGTTCCCAGGCACTGGGCTCAGTAAACGCAATAAATGTGTCAAATGTACTGACAACGCTAGTAAAAATTTACTGCAATTACCACACATATAAATTATTTGGCTGGCTGCCTCTGCTCCGCTCGGGATGGTAACCTGTCCAAGGTCAGAGACTGCGGGTGCATTCATAATAGCAGGCTGGGCACGCGAGAGACCAAAATCTAACCCTTGGTTTTGAGGAAACCATGCCCTTGGGTCGCATGCAAGGGGAGAAATCCCACCCTCCTCACTGCAGCACGGCTCGGCTTTGAGATGTCCTCCGCCAACATATCTGATTACTTGTGGCAGGAAACAGCACAGTCCAGCTAGAGCGTGGGGCTTGAAAATGTGCACTTGTGGGACAGGGTGGGGCACGCTGGAAGGGGGAGAGCATTCCCCCCCCCGAAAGGCCACTTGCTTCCTCAGAAACCCCACAGCGCCCCCAAAGAGATCGGCTTTCAAAGAGCTCACTACAAGGCGAGAATGGCATTTAAGTTGCAAGTGCTTTAATGCAACGTATTTTCTATATAGATGCTCCATTGTGCTGAGTGTCCTCAGTCATAAAAAGACACATAAACAAAACCTGCCCCCCAAACCCTCTTTTTTTTAAACAGAGCTCCAACCATAGTCCAATACCAATTATTAGAGGGTTTTTTAAAAAAAAGCAAGCAAGGAGGGAGATAATCAAGGCTGTCTAACTAGTGGGGATCCTCAAGCTGTACCCTTTCAAAAGAGCGGGCTATGAAGTATCTGGAAGGCACACAGAGTTCCCTAAACAAACATCAACTCCCAAGTCTTGGGGTTATCTCAGAGCTGTTGTTTGAAGGTGCACCTTGATTGCTCCCTGATGAGTGGATTAGAGATCCTGCCAAGCAACAAAAGGATTCCTCTACTTGGGCCTCAGTGAAGCACACACAGGGACCGACCCTCCTGCCCACCACCACCTTTCCAGAGAACAGTGTCTGCGGAATCTTTGGCAAGCAGCACAAACAGCTGGACTGAACTAAGACTGTGTGATCCAGCTCCACCCTGACTCCCTTGTAGCGAAACGTTGCCTTCTATCTCGGGTGAAATAAATTACTCTTTGCCTCATGGAATTCTCAAACTGTCAGGCAGGTTCAGGCTGTAGAGGCACAAGGCTGGGCCTGGCTGGATTCGGGCTGCAGGGGCTCCTCAGAGCACCGGCTCAACAGGCCCCCCTGCATCCGGGGCCTGAAAGGGAAATCCATCACACACCCCTCACCTGCCTGCTCTCCTTTCTCTTCCTTCTCTCTTCCAGTCCAGTTGCAGTGAAATTACTCTGGCTGATGAATGTGAGCTGAGCGGCTCACCGAGCAGAGGCACGCCTCCCTGGGTCCTCCTTACACACACTTCCTCCTTCCCCTTTCTTCCCCTCCCTGACCTGTGTGTGCCCTTTCCCAGCTTGAAGCCCTCCCAATGGGTAGGGTAGGCAGCTGAGAGCCACATTAGTGCGAAGGCATTCCTCTTCATAATAGTGCATTAGAGCGAAGGCATTCCTCTTCCTAGTAGTGGGTGGCTCCCACTCAGAGGGCACCCACAGTGCCAGGGAAATGAGCAACAATGCATTCAATGCAGGCAGGTGCCCTAGCAAGGGTGTGCATGGAGGCCTGTGCCAGGAGCAAGAGGAGCGCCTGACTCTGTCCTCACAGTAGCCACAGCTCCTGCAACTTCCTTTCCCCTAGTTGAGCTGAAGCACGGCTGGGAATATTTTTCGCCCCAAGTCATGTTACTGGAACCAAGGAGGAAGCTAAGGAGGGTCAATAGAAAAACACAGAAGCAGGGGAGTTCACAGCGGCACCGATTCCTTATCTGACAGGGCTTCCTGGGGAATCAGCTTCCTTCCCCGCCCCCCCCCCCCAGCACCCTCCGTGCAAAAGGCCCCGACCCTTTGTGCACAGTGAGATAAGCACATTTCGGAGGGGATGGGCCCCTTTCTCCTGGAGATATTTCTCTCCCTTCATCCTGTTCCACCCTCCTGGCCAAGATCCTGAGAGTAATTTTAAAAGAACATGATCAAGGTGAATCATATATTTCTTTCTCTTTCTTTCTTTCTTTGGACAGGCAGAGTGGACAGTGAGAGAGAGAGACAGAGAGGAAGGTCTTCCTTTTGCCGTTGGTTCACCCTCCAATGGCCGCCGCAGCCGGCGCACCGCGCTGATCCGATGGCAGGAGCCAGGTGCTTCTCCTGGTCTCCCATGGGGTGCAGGGCCCAAGCACTTGGGCCATCCTCCACTGCCCTCCCTGGCCACAGCAGAGAGCTGGCCTGGAAGAGGGACAACCGGGACAGAATCTGGAGCCCCGACCGGGACTAGAACCCGGTGTGCTGGCGCCGCAAGGCGGAGGATTAGCCTAGTGAGCTGCGGTGCCGGCCTCTTTAAAAAAAAACAAACAAACAAACAAACAAAAAAAAAAAACACTTCTCTGAGCCCAAATTGAGGAACGTGCAGCAAGATAACTGACTCAGGACCATCAAACATCTCACAGTCACGGACGTCAAGGAGAGAGAACTGCTTTAAAATGTCCGAGACGACAGAGGTGTCACACCAACACACAACATGTGACATCATGGGTGAAGGCTGAATGGAGTCCAGGGATTAGGAGGTAGGATTGTATCGATGTTAACTGCCTGATTCTGAGAGTTGTGTTGTGGTTATGTGGGGGGAATGCCATTGTTCTTAGGAAATACACACCGAAGTATCCACTGGATTGAGACATTAGGTCTGCAACTTACTCTCGCATGGTGCCCACCCCCCAAAAAAGTTCTATGTACTACAGTGGCAGCTTTTCTTTAAGCTTGAGATTGTTAACCAAAACGACAGAACATCACCACCAAACTACTCTGTATCCAGGAATTCCATTTTTCATGGTTCTAACCCAAACCCATATTGTTGGGGGAAAATAAAGCACAAGGCTGTTATTATTTTTGCCAGCGAGGTGAAAGAACTTGAATATTTGCCATGAAGGGACTGAGTGAGAAAACCCACAGTACAGACACACTCTAAAAAGGAAGACGTCATAGCTCCCTAAACTACTACGGAGGCTATAATAAGCAAAAAACAAAGGGGAGGAAAGTATGTACCTAGTGCAGAATTATGTGATCAACTACTGTGCCCGGTGTCTTTGCAAACCAGAATTCTCAGTTCTGAGAGACAGTAGATGGGATTGAAGCTATTAATGAAAATCCCTGTAATGCTGAATTTGAATTGGAAAAACCAATATGAACTCATGGTGTGTTTTATCTTTACAAATAAATGCAATTCCCAGCTCTGTCTACTAAAATGTCCCAGAAACGACCAGCTACCCAGCTAGCATGGAGCACTCCTAGTGCCCGGAGTGAGTTCCAGTAATCCCATTTCCCACTGAAAAGGACTAGAGCTCCTTGGAGAAATGTTTGAGTCCACATTTAGAGCAGGAAATGTACAAGATGTGCCTGGAACATCTTGTCATACTGGACAGCAAAAAAGTCATCAACAGCTACTACGTTGCACTGAGTGATTAAAGGGCCCACTTTAAGAGACTGATACTGGCTGAGGGTGAGGCCATCCGAGCATCAGTAATGACAGTGGCCACAACAGATCAAAATTCACCAGATATGTTCAAATCAGGAAATTCATGATGATTCTAAAGGTTAGTGATTGGTCACTTTTGAAAGAAGCTGGTGAATCATGTCGGGGGGGAGCATTATTAAGAAGGAGAAAAATGAGGCATTTTTCCTGCCTTTGCTCTATGAACTATTGCACTGAATGAGCAAATAGTAGATAAGGAGCTTCTCTCCTCTTTTTGGAAGTAGAAGTAGATTTAGAGCATTGCTATCACTGTTTTACACTTTCAGTGAGTTAATACATCTAGGAATTGATCACCAGTGACTGCCACTATGACAGAGAGAAACCAAGTATGATACACTCCCAGACGAACTAGCACATCACCACCATGAAGCAATCTTACCAAAAGAAGCTAAATCAAACTTGAAGTTTATCATGGCCACAATCCAACTATCAATTTACAGGGAAAAAATAGTGGATAATAAAGGAACATGTAAAATAACACCACAGGGACTTAGTCAAAAAATTCCAGATGGAAAAATTCTACACAGCCAACAACCTGATTTCATTAAGGGAAAAGAGAGAGAGAGCAAGGGAGAGAGAGAGAGCAAGGGAGAGAGAGAGAAAAGAAATCTATACAGATGAAAAGAAACATGATGAGACATAGCAACCAGCACAATAGGTGGGCCTTATTTGGGTCCTGGACCAAATAAGAAAAAATACTTAATGATAACCTCTATCAGACTAGTTAAAATTTTGAACACCAGCATAGTGTTTGATGATATTAAGATGTACTAACGATGTCTCATGTTTAGAAAACAGGAGTCATCTTTTAGAGATTTGTACAGAACTGTTTACAGAGGACATTAAATGTGTGGAATTTGCTTCAAAATAATGCAGGTAGCGTAGAGGAAGTGAGTGGGGGTGTGCATAGAACAATACAGTTCACAATACTGTGGAAGCTGAATGATAAGGGCCTTTTTAGGTGCTTTCAATCTTCTCGTATATTCTTTGAACTTGGTTGGAGTCATATGTAATTAAAAGTTGCAAAATAACACCTATGTGCCAGGCACCAGGTTGGCATTGACCTGAGCTGGGAATTGGTATCAGAGAACAGAGTCAGGACTTTCCCTTCGTGACTTACACATGTGGGAAGGGAGAGGCATTTGGGGGCAACGCCCTGCGCTCTCCCGGGCCTTGATGAGATGAACATGCAATTTTCTTTGCCAAATTGGAAACTGAGAACAGAACGCAAGCCTGCCTGAAGCAGCTCCTCAGCCGAGCTCGGCGAAGGCCGGAACCATGACTCAGGGCCCAGCTGCGCAGCGTCCCCGTCCACCCAGAAACACACGCAGAGCTCTCGGGAACAAAATGGGGCCACATGTGGGTTTCAACAAAGAGCCAGCAGACAAAGGCCCCACAGACACGCCTGACCTCGCCTGTGGCCCTGGGCCTTCCATGGAAATGTGAACTTTGCTTTGACACCCTCCGGCCCTTAACAACGGTCCCATAGAGCGTGGGCAGTGCCCTTTGGCTGCATGAAGGGCAAGGGGCCCCATGCTCTAAACTGCTGGCATTCGCACCACAATCTCCTCTTATTTCTGAGCCACGCCCTATTTGCACTTCAACTTCGTGGTGCTTGAGGGTAGAAATGTAACTTCAGTTGGACCCTCCTCTGCCCAGGGTGGTGACCTTGATCATACATGCCTGGGATGTTTTCCTAAGGAATCCAAGGGAAGTGGCTTCATCAGACATACGTGGTACCATGGAAATACCTGGCAGAGGCCAGGGCCTGGGCACAGGTCTCCATGGCGAGCACACAGCTGGGGCTCCTATTTGGCTCATATTGAGGGAGCGTTTACTCTGCTGTTCAGGCATCCGCCGAGTCTCAGCTTTGGAAGCTGGGGAAGAAATCAGGGAGGCAAAGACAAAGGCTTGTTCACAGATAGCTTCAGTGAGGAGTTCAGAAGGGGCAGTTGCCAGCTGCAGGAGGTGAGGCAGAGCTCAACAGGCAAACGAGATTCCAATTTCAAAAGTGAACCGATGGAGATGGGCTGAGTGCACAAGAATAACAGGAGAAGTCCAGGTAGGGCGAATGTCTTGAACACAGCCGTGCAGATAGGATGTATAAAGCCTTCTGCAAGTATAATGAGAAAAATGTGTGACAAAGACATAAATGTAAGGAGTGCTGCTGAATCCCAGGAAGTTACACGGCCTATTTTATTTCCTTGTTGCTATTCACTAGTCTTTCAGCATGCTGGTGGTCTTCCCTGTGAAGTAACCCGAAAAGCACAGAGGTCAGGGTCGTCGTATGGCTTGGGGGGAGAGGGTGCGGGGTGGGGAGATTTGGCTAAGACACCCATGTCCCACCTCAGAGTACCTGGGTTCAATCCCCAGTTCCGGCTCCTGGTTCTGGTGTCCTGCTACTTCGGACTCAGGAGGAAGAAACGAGAGCCCAAGTGACGGGGTTCTTTCTGCCCATGTGGAGGATCTGGATGGTTTTCCTGGGTCCCTGGTTGCATTCCTGGTTGTGGGCATTTGGGGAGTGAACACAGTGAATTCCCATCTGTCTCTCTGCCTCTGAAAGAAAAACCAAAAGGTAGACATCTATTGCTTGAAAGTGCATGACGCAGGTGAACCAGACTTGAAAGTAGAATTTGAGGATTCCATCAAAAGGATGCACACAGCCTCATTTATCCACACAGAGGAGGCTGCTTGCTCATCTCTTGAACCTACTTCTTTCCAGTCTCATATTGGGTGAAATATTTCACCAACGTCTTGATAAGCAATGGAAGATCCACATGGTTTGGTTTCTATGAACCTCAACACTACTGACATTTGGGACTGGATAATTCTTTTGGTAGGGGACTGCCCTATGCCCTATGGGGAATGTTGCAGCAACCCAGGCCTCTACCCACCACATGCCATTAGTATCCAAACCCCAGTTTTAACACAAATGTCTCCAGGCATTTCCAAGTGTGCTGCATGGAGGAAAAACACCTAATATAGCAATGGGAGCCCTCCTCACTGCCATATGGGCCCCGTGGCCCTTACTCTCCTGCCTTCTACTCCCTTGAGGAACAGGTGGCTCACCAGTGGCCTGATTCCAACAGAAAGCCAGGTAACACAGCTCATTGCTGGGTGTTTTCTTCTGGGAGCGTACAGAAACCATTGTGAACAGTTATCCAAAACATCCAGATGACAATGTCTATCCCATCTCACCAACATCCCACTTGGAAGAGTTTCCACTCCTGTTATGCCATCTGGCAGCCATGACATTGACCTTTGGCTTCAACATGGAGATGGAGAAAATTTACCCAGAGGGATACAGTTGTCCTCTGGGCCACAGGATCTGGAGGCTGGTTACAGAGTCTGCAGTGGCCTGCATTTAAGCTTGCCTCTGTCCTATCAGTTGCCTCTTCCCTTAGCAACTTTGCTGATTGCCAGTCAGGTATCCACACTGCCCCCATGCAGCCTTGATGTGACACAATATGTAGTGAATATTCTGGAAACATGCACAGACAATCCCGAGTTCAGATCCTGGTTTCCCTGTTCAGCTCCTGTTCTAGACACAGGACAGAGAGACAAAGCTCCTTCAGATCCTATACTAGACACGCAACCTGCACAAATCAGTTATCTGTTTGAGCCTCATTTTCTCATCTGTGTAACAGCCTGAAGAGGAGGAAAGTCTACTATGCAGACTGAGACCCGAATGAGAGAAAGCACACCTGTAGAGTTCTTATTAGTGCTGTTATTCTTGTTATCAGTGACTTTCTCCATGGGATTTGTTTGCTGGGTTGCTTCTTAGTGCTATTGACAGTCAGCTGAGAGCAGTGGGGTATAGAGATGAACTCCTTGATGGCAGAGGAGGCTGGGAAACATGCAGAACACAGGTGCATGTGTGGAGATAGCCTGGGGCCTGGGGGCATCAAAATGTCAAAGTGCTTGAAAAGTGCCTGGAAGTTTCCTGCTTCGACATTTCTGAAAGCACAGTTCTGTGAGCACTTAAGTATTTTAGCTTTGAAACCCAGTACGAGGCTGGCGCCGTGGCTCGCTAGGCTAATCCTCCACCTGTGGCACTGGCACCCCGGGTTCTAGTCCCAGTCAGGGCACCGGATTCTGTCCCGGTCGCTCCTCCTCCTGTCCAGCTCTCTGCTGTGGCCAGGGAGTGCAGTGGAGGATGGCCCAAGTCCTTGGGCCCTGCACCCCATGGGAGACCAGGAGAAGCACCTGGCTCCTGGCTTCGGATCAGCGCGGTGCACCGGCTGCAGCGCGCCGGCCACGGCAGCCATTGGAGGGTGAACCAACGGCAAAAGGAAGACCTTTCTCTCTGTCTCTCTCTCTCACTGTCCACTCTGCCTGTCCAAAAAAAGAAACCCAGTACGAGATGCACTGCACTTCAGGGCAGGGAAGAGTTTTGAGGGCCCCTTAGGTCATGGTATTTGGATTCTGCTAACAAAGCATCCTGGAACCCTGAGCCATGTGCCCAGCACCCATGAGCCCACAGGAGAATGACAGACAGCACTCGGAGAGGCCCACCCATTGCCTATTTCAGCCCCGCTTTAGTCCCTGGGATCCCATGGAATGAATGGGTGGATCTTCAGTGGTGCTGTGAGCCAAGACCCATCCAAATGGTCTCGTAGTTGAACCTCCCTTTGGCTTTTGCCAATTTCTAAAATACTGTTTCACTGGTCTCCCAGTGGCCTGATTCCATCAGAAAGCCAAGTAACACAGCTCATTGCTGGGTGTTTTCTTCAGGGAGCGTACAGAAACCATTGTGAACAGTCATCCAAATCATCCAGATGACAATGTCTACTGCTGCGTGGGCGCCTGCTGTAGAGATCTGAATCCTTATACAGTCCTTTCACAGTTCTGACCCCCGTCATACACCTGTGGAAAGACACTCAGTTCAGAGGGATGCAGGGACTCACCCAAGATCTCCCCCTAGGAAGCGGCTGGGCCAGGATCCAAAGCTGGGACACTCTGCCTTTATTTCAGTGATGCCAACCTGCCTCCCTCTCCTATTCCTCCACGGGCGAGAGTATGCTGTCCAGGGCACCCCCTGGGCCCAGCACGGCTCAGGCTTCTATTTTACGTAGTGAACTGCTGGTGGAGGCAGGCAGGGACGGAATAAGCAAAGACGGGGAGGAGGAAATGGGAGTAGAATGCTTGGAAAGAAGAGCACAGGAGAGAAAGAAGGAAGGGAGGGAGGAGGAGGAGGAAGGGGAGGGAGGAGGGAGGGAGGAGGAGGAGGGGAAAGGAGGGAGGGGAGGCAGCCGCTGCCTCCTGAGCTGTTCAGAGTGGCTTGGAGGGCTGTTTCCAGCGTGCTGGTGCTCGCAGACTGCAGTGAGAGGAGGTGGGCAGTGGTGAAGCTCCACCCCCATCACTCCCAGGCTGAGCAGGGGTGTGGACTGCACCGTTCCCACCTCAGAGCCGGGGCTGCTTCCCGCTCACTGGGAAGAGTGCACATGAGGGGTGTTTGTGGGGGACGGCGGCACAGACTGGGGACGAGGCGGCATGCCCCACAGGAAGAGGGGCTCCAAAGTGCCGTGGGGCAAATGGGACCAAGATGTTGTCCCAGACGCTCCCAAGAGGCTGCCAGAGATGGTCTCTGCACCCCTAGCTCGGAGCCACCCCAAGTCCTGCATCACGAAGGCGGTGGTGTTCAGAAAGCAGGGAAGTTTGACAATTGGCACACTTCGGTAAACACGTTGGTTTAATTCCAGTTTTACAGCTCAGCAACTCCCTGTCAGACACAGTCCATAAAGTATTTACAATGTTGTTCAAAAATCCATATACTATTTACACGCCCTGCCCTCCACGCAGGTAAAATGGAGGGAACTTGGCCAGAGTCCTGGGGAAACAACCAGGTTAAACAGAAACCACAAACTGCAGCAATGACAAGAGCCCCAAGTGAGAGGTGAGAAAACACAGGGAACCCCCAGACACAAGTCCCCAAGTGGAGAAAGTCGGGCCACTTGAGGGCAAACAGCCAGGAGCCTCCGGGAGGCGCCTGCGCACGGCCAGATGGATGCCGGGCCCACCTCACGGCCTGTCCTCTGTGACTTTGTTTAGCCAACTCTATCCGAAAGCGCCTCCCCTGGGTTACTCAGTGAGGGACATAACTGTCCATTGCCTGGGGACGTCCAGTTTCTCCAGCAGGAACCCGAGCCCTGGGTCCTTTCCCTGGTCGTGGCCTTGGGTCAGTGCTGGGCGCTGTTGACAAGGAGACTGAACCCAACACACAGTCGCAGCCCAGGCCTTGCCTGCTCAGGGCAGCCTGCCCAGAGGGACCCCGAGGGCAGGACCCTGTGGCTGGTCCTGGAAGGAGTTCTCCTCTCCCGGGGTAACCCAACTCCTGTGAGGCCTCAAACCTGTAGAATTCTACCTCCTTTGAAGAAAAAGGAATGGATGTAAACAGATGCCAAATCATGTCCAGGACATGGGGAGGGGCCAGTGCAAGAAAAAGACCCCCAAAGCTTAAGGCTGACTTTTGAACTCAGCCCACTGCTGCCCCTCCCCCTCCCCAAGCTCTGCCCACTGGGAACCGTGATCTCCTGGCTGGCGGGGTGGGGGTGAGACTTGAGCTCATTGCCTTGGCACACAGAGATGCCTGAGTGTTGATGTTCAAGCTCCACGTGGAAAGTAGAGAGATCAGGATAGGAAGTGAAAACAAACTCTGCAAGCCTAAGGACTATTAATAGAGTGAAGCACTGAGTTAACCAATTCCAAACAATTATTTTAAAAGCCCGTTTTAGAAAGTGTTACTATGCAGAGTACTGGCTGTTTTCAATAAACCTAGGAAGTACGTTTAGCAGCATACAGCACCGTATGTTTACAGATTTTTGGTACGGTTGCTGTCATTCTTCTGTCCTATAAACCCCTAGAGACACAGGTCACTCACTACCTTGGGGCTCGGGACCTTAAAACTGGAGTTCTTACTGAGCCACACACTGAACAATGTACTGTGTCCTGCCTTTTGCCTCTAGAGTAGGCCTGCCTGCCTGCCTGCCAATAGGGGTGAGTTTAATGTGGAAAGTACATCTTGTCTCCTGCTTAGATTTGATCCTTTGGCTATTCAAGCTGCTGCGATACAAGGAACAGAAGAAAGACACGTCAGGACCCACAATGAATTAGACCATGAGCCAAGTAGCCATGTCCCGGAGGGACAAACAGCCCCACGCCATCACAGGGGATAGAATGTGCCTGCAAAAGGAAAGCAGTGCCTCGGGCCATATAAACAAGGGCCCCTGCCCATGTCCCCCCGCAACCTTCATTCAGGCTCAGCATCTCCAGGCTGGGTGGCCGCACACCGGGCTCAGCTGGAAGGACCCAGCAGTCAGGCCGGGGTCAAAGACAGTGTCCTTTGGATGCTACAGCCTTTGTTGTTGGAAAGCCCAAGTCAGAGAGGAGATCGAAGCAGCTTAATGAGGGGCAAACCAGTGCGTCAGGAAACTAGCCGTGACCTGGGAGTGGTGCACTAAGATTCTGGGAGGGAAGAGACTCAGGACGCACCCAAAGGGAGGAAAGGGCCAAGGCAGGGCCGGCCAGCTGCTCCTGGCTCTGGGTCCCGAGGATTCAGTGCTGCTTCTTCACATAGAAATCGTTCTCTACGGGCTGAAGCCAGCCTGCAATTGGGCCTACACCACCCAGGAGAGGAGGGGATGCTGGAGCCAACCCTGACCGACATTGACTGGGAGGAAACAATGCTATTTTTGGAGATTTTCTGTTCATTTCAATTTTTTTTTTAATTCTTTCAGGTTTTCTGTCTGCTGGTTCACTCCCCAAATGGCTGGAATGGCCAGAGCTGGGCCAATTCGAAGCCAGGAACCAGGAGTCCCCTCCAGGTCCCTCATGTGAGTACAAGGGCCGAAGCACTTGGGCCATCTTCCACTGCTTTCTCAGGCACATTGGCAGGGAGCTGAACCAGAAGTGGAGCAACTGGGACTCGAACCAGAGCCTTCATGGGATACTGGTGCTGCAGGTGCAGGCTCAACCCAGTACACCATAGCGCCAGCCCTGATTTCAAATCTTTGGGAACTTCTGGCTGGCATTTCCTGGGAGCTTATGCCGCATCTACTTAATAATGGCTTCCTCCTACTGAGCTAGGAATTGTTGCAGACATTTTACTTTAAATTGTCTCACTTGATCCTCCTAATGGTGTGTTTTACCTCACGAGCCCAAGGCTCAGACCAGGATTCATTTGCCCAACATCACAGAGTTAATTAAGTGGCATAATTAGCATTCAAGCCCAGGAACTGATTTCAGTTCAAAACTATTTACTAAAAGTTTGTCCAGAGGCCAACTTTGTGGTGCAGTGAGTTAAGCCATGACCTGTGACACCAGCATCTCATAGGAGTGCCTGTTTAAATCTCGGCAGCTCCACTTCCTATCCAGCTCCCTGCTAATGCGCCTGAGAAAGCAGCAGAAGATAGCTCAGTTGCTTGGCCCCCTGCCACCCACATGGGAGACCCAGATGGTGTTCCAGACTCTGTTTTAAGCCTGGCTCAGCCCTGGCTGTTGCGGCCATTTGGGGAGTGAACTGGCAGATGGAAGAGCGATGTCACTCCATCCCTCTCTCTGTATCTGTGCCTTTCAAATAAGTAAATAAATCTTTTTTTAAAAAAAATTCAAATTCATTGAACTGGATCCTATTAGGGATAAAATATAAATATAGCTGAGTCTTTTAAGATTTATTTTATTTATTTGGAAGGCAGAGTTACAGAGAGAGAGAGAGAGGAGGAGGAGACAGAGAAGTCTTCTATCCACTGGTTCAGTCCCCAAATGGCCACAACAGCCTGGGCTGAGCCAGACTAAAGCCAGGAACCAGGAACCAGGAGCTTCTTCCAGGTCTCCTCCATGGGTGCAGGGGCCCAAGGACTTGGGTCATCTTCTGCTGCTTTCCCAGGCACATTAGCAAGGAGCTGCATCGGAAGTGGAGCAGCTATGACTTGAACTGGGACCTGCCCAAAAGCTGAGTCTTCATTTGCAATGATTAAAAATAATCCCAAAACAATTAATCCAAAATTGATCAACATCTGATCCTGGAATATGTTTTTGCCCACATGTTTGAATATAGATATTTTTTATTATTTTGGAAACTCAAAACTCTGGACAAAGTAATAAAGCTACTACTCCACAGAGGAGCCCAAAGTTACGAGCTTCCCTGCTCAGATTTTCTACTAGAACTATTAGGGCCCTCATCTCCTCTCCTCCTGAATCCTCTCTACTTTTCTTCCTAATTCTGAGCTCCTATGAGCTTCCAGACTCACGCAGTCCACAGCTTATGTGGCACCCCCATCCCAGACGTCATCCATGGAAGACACTTGGTCTCGCCACCTCCACTACCTGCTTTTCCCCCAGCTTCATCATCTCAGGAAGTGACGTCACCATTTACTAATTGAGTAAGCTACGAACCATCCCGACTTCCTGTCTGTTGCCCTCTATATCCCACCCATTTCTGGTTTCCATTGGTTCCTCTTCCAGCACACTGGCCCGGATGCCGTGTGAGTTATCAACTCCAGTGCATTCGCAGGAGATGCCCCCATCTCCCCATGTGTTAAATGGTAGCCTGGCTCTTTTACTTCCCTGATTGCTGGTTCAGTTATCAAACTGTTCAGAGACATACTTAATGCTTTCCAGGGACAGCCTGGCCCAGAGGAGAGGGATGATCCTTTCTTGGTATGTGATTCTGATATAAAATGGTAGATACCATTTATTCTATGAGCAAAGTATCTCTTGGTCTGCCCACCAATTTAACAAAGCAAAATCCCCATCTTGGGAAAGTTGTTTATCTATTTCAAGTGAACATTTTTTTTCTTTTTGACTTTCTGATGCCAATTATTCAAAAAATAATAGAACATTAAGAAGGCAATATAGATATATAATGTTGACATTAAAACCAAAGCTGCAGGTTAACTCATCTGACAAGAATGCTCTATTTTTTAAACAACAAAGATGATCCCAAAGTAAACTGGGCAATCGCTAACTCCCTAAACAGCATTAAATAAATTCCTCTTCTGTGAAGTATCAGGAACTGTTTATTTCTCCATGCCCTCAAAGGCAATCTGGATTTTTAGTTAGCCCTAGCAGAGGTGGACTGAAATGGGAGCTGTAGGCACTGGTAGATTAATTAAAATTTTTTTCAAGTATTTTTAACTCACTCTTCCAGCTATGCCATTGACCTTAAAAAGTAGATTTTTAAAATCTTGGAGTCTATAAGACTTTGGGTCAGTTTATATATGAGCGTGTGTGTGTGTGTGTGTGTGTGTTTATTCTTGCCCAGGATTCCTCAGGGATCTGCTGTTGCTCTGTGGACCGACAGGCCCCAAG